AAAAAAAAAAAAAAAAAAACAAAAAACTGGAAAGCACCTAGAATAAGAAACCCCATGGTCTTCCAAGAATTTGTTAGAGAAGACACAATGTGAATCAACTAGCTAACGGATGAACAAAATAATCAAATAAACAGTGCCAGAATAACCCTCTACTATTTTATGCAACAGGATTATTCAGCTGTTTGTTTATTAAACAATATAAGGATTGCAGGCATTTCTGTCTCAGAATCCAGTCCAAGTTTCACTGACTTTGATAGCCCTGGATCAAGTCCATGGTAAATATCCAGTGTAAATTTAATCCTTTGTTTAATAAAATAAACAAATGTCCACGTAGATTCAGCTCTACAAACATTTAAACAGATACTTCACTATTATTATTTTGATAGCACATTGCATATGCATATGAATCTTTCCAGCCCATCAATTCCCAGCTGCTGAGGTGGGCTTGACTTAGAAGAAAGAGCATTAGCTCCAGAGAGCATGAGAGACCACATCAATCAATTTCTACAGTCTGGTCTGGCTGGGCTTCTCACCAACAACACTGAAGCAGTTGGTACGTGCAAGAAGGTAGCAGAAGCAGCAGCTAGGACAGGGAAAAGCTGAGATTAAAGGAATGAGGTGACAATAGGAGCAGCAAGACCCACACACAAAAAAAAGACAGGAACTCTGTTGCAGCCCACCACTTTAGCAAGGAGACACTGCCCTTTGAACCCTCCACTGGTAGGCAGGTTCTCTGCTGCTCCGAACACAAACTGCCTGCTTCCATCACGAGAGCCTTCCCACAGTCCTCATGTGACCCATCATCTCCTCTGCCCTGCAGCAAGGTTCACATCTCCCAAGAGTTATTAGCTAGTTACAGCTCTCACTGGATTTTAAAGCTGATATATTCAGACTGTTTATTCAGTGAGGATTTCAGCTCCAAGACAATCCCTGAGAGATATTTTTCTTTTTCAGATTATTCCTTAAAACCGTTTTTGCCATATTTGTGCCACAAAACATGCACACACAGATACAAGTTTTTAGAATCATTTGGGAGTGCACCCGATATTGACACGTGACAACATTGTTTCCCAGTACGCTCTCAGCCTTCGGTTTGGGGTTTTTGGTTTGTCCTTGACTGCCAGTTCTCTGCTGCAGGGTTCAGCTTTGTGGTAGGTATTGTAGAAACCAAAACCAATCGATTCTGGTTCATAACCAAGACTTTATTACAATATTACCAATGAGGTAATATTATAATAAAAAATAGCGAGAAAGGGATGCAGTTCTGGCTATGGATTGATTCTGTGGTCTTTGTTCCACAAAGCAGCACTCCAGGAGTAAAAACTGTAAATACTCTGTTTCAGAGCTATCATGCTCACTCCTATCTATTACTGTTCTTGTTAGTTACATTGTTCATTGGTAGTCCTGGCAGTAAGACCTATGAGTCCACTTCCATCTTCAGCTTTAAAGATACATTTTTGGACAAGCAAAAGGCCTTTAGTCCTTTCCTGAGACTTTCTTTACAGATAGAAAATTTAGCTTTTAAGAGCAACTTTATTGTTTCCACATGCTTTGACTGCATGTCATACCTAGGGAATAAAGTCAGGTCACATGTGGAAACCATTCTTTAAAGGTAAGAGGGTCCTAACATCAGGTCTGACAAAAAGAAGGTAACCTGAATCCATTGCATTATTTCCTTTATCTAGGGTGACAGGAGAAGGGAAGTTAGAGAGAATGTGAAACTTTTTACAACTGCACATAACCTTTGTTAACAAATTCCCAGAAATCTCACATGCCCTAAGTCTAAAAAAAAAAAAAAAAAAAAATTAAAAGAAAATCAACCAATCCACAAAACCCCCACAACCAGGGAAGTAATTCATTTCAAATAAAGAGAAAATGTGTCCATACAGCTCAAAATAACCTACAGTAACAGTGTACAGCCATGCCAGCTCTGAATTGTATGCAGAATGAAACTAAATATAACTGAAGCAAAAGAGCTCCTTTACAATCTTTTTCCTTTGGGACTATCTTTCATACAGTTCTATGTATTTAGCTCTGGGATGAAAGACAGTGGCTGTTGTCTCATTTCCCCCAGGAGCTAGTTGCTTCTCTGTCTTCGTGTACCGCATGGGAAGGTAAGAATATAGTAACTTCCTTACAGGCATAAAGACAAAAAACCAACACCAAATCGAGGCTCTAGACATTTGCCTTTAAATGCAATCACTAAAATCAATGCTCCTCCAATCACATAAATTCACAACAGTCTCATTAAATTACTTAATTAATTCATACAGTAAGGGAATAGTCTCTCCATGAAGAAAGCAATGCTTCATATTTCAATAGTTGGAGCACAAATGTCATTTGGCAAGAGGCAAAAATCAAGTGATTTTCCAGCTATTTAAACACAAAGCACAGCTTCAAGCTAATTAATTCTGTACCAGACTAGCCAAACTAACAAATTTGTATAGTAAAGAGTGGAAGGGCTTACACAAAAACCATCACTGAGGTAATAACATATGAACTTATAGTGCACTGTGAAACTCTACAAGTGAAACTACAAAATAAGCTACCTGCAGTTTTATACAAATAATGAGAAGTACCTTTTCAGATGGAATGATAATGTAGCTCTCTAATTGCACACCAAGACTGACTTCTGTAAATCCCATGGTGTTAATGGCACAAGAAAATAAGACTGTCCAACTTGAACTATACCAGGAAGGGAAGATGTGTTCATTGAGGAGGTAAGGAATAAAGTCCCACAGGACTAAAAGAAATACCAAAGCCCTTCTTTAAAATCAACAGGCTCTTCCACTGTCACTCTTTTTGACTGACTAATTTATAACTCGTATTATTCTTCTCTAGGATGCCAAAATAAACCAATCTTACAGGTTGCTGAATTTATTTCTGCATTCAATTCTTTCTTTTCAAAAGCTCTCTCTCACTGGCTGCAAAAAGACTGTGCAAATCATTGCTAACATCAATTAAACTTGCTTCTAGATGAGCATACCAATCAAATAAGAAAATGCACAAACACTGCTTTTAAACAGATGTTGATTAATATTGGTCTTTCCTCCCAGAAATTGATTTTCTCCACCAATTAAATACTGTCCTGACAAATACAGTTTTAAACTCTTCCCTCAAATTCATAATATTACTCTCAAGACCAGTTTCCTTTCCATTTCACTAAATGTCTGGTCCTAACCCCTAATCCCCTTACTTGTACGGATAATCCCACACCTTCAAATTTCCTTTTTGGAGCATCTTTATGTTGTCTCCTACTTTCCTTTTCACACAAGGAAGATTGCCAAGAATACCTGGTTCTCAAAACTTCTCCTTAAAAAGTTTTCCTCTGCTATGACACAAAAAGGAGACAACTCAACAGTGGCTGAACACCTGCTATGCAAAGATGGGTTCCTTTTTCAGGAACCTTATTTGGCATTCCCTCTTCTTCTCTCCCCACATTAGCCTTCTTCTGATTACAGATGGCTCTCATTACATCTTGATACTGCAAGTTCTCTCTCCTGGTGCTAAAAATTAAAATCACAAAGAAATTACAATCTCTGCTACAACTCTAACTTGGCTGTCCAGTGGCTACATATTCATCCTTTACAGGTTTGCCCATGGTACACTAGAGCCAGGGGTAGAATGGAAGCAACAGTGAAAGAATTGTTCCACTTTTTTTATTTTCTTTGAACGTAGTCAAGCACCTGCATTTAAACTTTACAGATAAGAAACAACCTCATTTATGGCCATGTGATATTATGAAAGTTAGTGCTTTCATATCTTGTACATTCTGATGTTTTATACTAGAAACCTACTGCAAGCCAGAAGCACTTTATGTTGCAAAAGCTACTTTAGCTACTTTTAAAACTTGTGAAAAGTATTATTAACTTTCTAAGCCTAATATTTAAATTGACTAATGCTGCCAGTTTCTTTTGCCAATAAAACCCTCACAGAAGGAGTGATGAGTTCATTGTTAGTGGGCAAATTAACGACTGGCATGTCTGACGTTTGACTGTCACGAAGAACCACAGAATCACAGAATATGCCGAGTTTTAAGGGATCCCAGTAATACTTTATACTGCAGGTACATGAGACTTGTTAACAAATAATGCAATGATCTCCACAACTACCTGAAAGGAGGTTGTTGCAAGGTGGGTGTTGATCCCCTTCTCCCAAGTTAATAAGCAGTAAGACAAGAGGAAATGGCCTCAAGTTGTGCCAGGGAATGATGAGATTGGATATTAGGAAAACTTTCTTCACAGAAAGCATTGGAAGAGTATGCCCAGGAAAGTGGTTGAGCCACTATCCCTGTTGGTATTTAAGACACACAGACATGGCTCTTAGGGATATGGTTTAGTGATGGATTTGGCAGTGCTGGGTTAGCAGTTCAACTCAATTATCTTAAAGGTCTTTTTCAACCTTAACAATTCTATGACTGGGTAAGAGGAAAAGGGAAATGCTACAGGGGAGAAAAGTCTGAAATCTAACCCAGCTGAGCAATGGTTACAATATTATTCTTTTAACAGGTTGCCAACATTTATGCCCCTCCATGAGAGGCTAGTATTTTACCTAAGGTGTATTTACCAGTAGGGAAGAGTTGGAGCTCTTCACAAGGTACAGAGAGACTTAAAAAAATATATAAAAATCCATCAGAGCTGAAATTCACATAGGTTTCATTAGCACCACAGACCTTGTGAAGTTTAACAGACTAAACTCGCATTGGCATTTGGACTTTCATGTTTAAAAAAAGAAGGAACAGACACAATCTGTTGCATCTAGGACTACCAACACTAGGTTAAGAGAAAGGAAAAGGTCAGACACATTCAACAAGAGGGAAATAAGTAGCGAGGCAATAATATTTCATGGCATAATTTAAGATACTCACAATTCTACTCAGACCATTGAAGATCCCTCATTTGTCAATAAGAACAATATCATTACCTATTTTTGAAAGACTTAACAGATTAAACAAACACTGACTCAAACTTAACTTTACACCTCCAAATCTTACTGCTGACCTTCTACTAGCTGGTCCAAGGAGGTAATCTTCTTGGAGCCATCAATTGTGTAGATTGTTCTCACTCCTTGGGGCAGATTCACATTGTCGGACAGAGTTCGGGTCAGATCAGCCAGGAGAGCTTCAAAGGATCTAAACCGGTCAGGGGAGATGGCATATACAATCCCTTTGAAATACCGGTCTCCATTACGATAGAAACGAACTTTCTTGGCTTTTTTCTCAGAACTCAGGGTCTGTAGAGTACGGGTTCGGTAAAAGCTGCAGTGGGCACTGTGAGTAGGGCTGGGTAAACCATTTACCCGGGACCCTCTGCCATATCTCTGCGCTTTATCACGCTCATCAAAATGCTCCAGCTCCATATCTCTCCCAAGGGACATCTTGAAGTTCAACCTAAGGGATGCACAGAAGAAGAGAAAAAGCTTAAGAAACTCAGACATTTCAAGGGAGCTCACTTTGAGACTTCATGTTCTATACATTAGAGAGGACTACTTTCTAGGTTGAGAAGGATGTTTGAATAAAACCATGCTACATTCACATGGGCATTTCACGCATAAGTCTCTTGGCATGCCATAAAAGTAAGATTATAAGTTAGACTTCTGTACACCATAGAAACATGACTCATCAAACCAAACTGCTAGTGATATGTAAACATTAGAAATGTTTGTTCAAATTCACTAACTCTGAAAATGAGGTGACAAAGTTGAGCTACTGGAAAAAAGGAACAAACGCATCAACTTTCTACTTTTTCTCATGTTATATTCAGGTGCTATTTGAGTCTAGTCTACCTTCTAGACAGCTTGCCCCCACTGAACTGTTTGCTCCAACTGCTATCTCAAGAGGTGTTGTTTCAGATGGGCAGCCAGTCGCCAACAAATAAGCAATTAAAAACTTTTCAGAGGAATACATCTGGCAGGTTGGAAATGAGAATAAGGACTATCACTTAGTGGGAAAATCCCACTGTTAAGTCCCTGCATATTCCAACCATTGGTTTCCTTACAGCCTAAGCTTTGTAATAAATTACTTCAGTTGTCCTTGTACAAATGCTTTACACACTCTAAACCAACAGAAGGGCTCAACTGGCATGAAATGAAAGAAAAATTATATTGGGGTATACAGGAAACTAGTATTTTTCAATGAGCAAGCTCCTTTAGTGCTCTGTTAAGACTTGCAAGATGTATTATTGATATCCTAAGTCTAATGTTCAAATTGATTAAGGCTGATATCTTTTTTTGCCATTACCAAAGGAGTGATAAAATCGGTGTGATTGGACAGACTAGCAATTGGTGTTTCCCATGCTTGACAGTGAGAAAAACCCATCAGCCCTGACCAAAATGATCCCAGTTGTTCACTACAGTTCACACAAATAGAAGTTCACATGTTCTGAAATGAAACCAAAGGGGGAAATACTTCTGTTCCTTTTTACAGCCAACACAAGATTAAATTCTACAAAGAGCATGTTAATCTTCACAAATAGAAGTAAAAAAATAAAATACCTTTAAAAAAAATTATCAAAAAATCATTAGGTTCAAAACACATTTATTTTAATTTAGGAGCCACCTAGATCTGCAGAACAGCAAAGCACAATAAGTTTATTTATAGCACAGATACACAGACCTAATTTAAAAGTGGTCGCTCTCATTGATTTCCAATAAAAAGGAAAAAAATGGCAAGCACTAGCTTTGTTTCAACCACTCATAATTATGTGACCATTAAGAAAAAAACTGTATTCAGACCAGCTGTAAAACAGTGGGAGGAAATACAGAAAAATCTGCAGTTGCTCTTTGGCTTACAGAAGTTTGTATTAAACCAGTGATTATACAACTGGACCCTGATGCTGCAAAGCTGTAGTGGATGCACTCAGCAACTTCTCAGAGCAGCTCATGTGCTTGACTAGCACAAGCACCTAAAGCTAACCACTGCAAACGCAGGGCCTTGGTGGAAATTATTTACCCTGCTTCGGTTACAGCCACAACTTACTTTGTTACATTGGCACAGGATCGTATATTTATGTGTATATGAAGGATTTATACTTGTAAATACTGTAAAGGTACCTAACATATACATTATGCAGTATATGTTTGTGTTTTCTTATATATATATGAAAAAAGACTAATCTATGTTTTTCCCATACACCCCTCTTCATTGAAATGAACAAGAATGTTTGCTGTGGCATTTCTTTGATGTTTCTTTATATGTTAAACACAAAATATAGCTTCGTGGCCACAGTTTACGATCAAGATTATACCACCTCTGTTTCCATGTTCAAAAAATTATGCCAATTGTTTTAATTCATGTCCAATTACAATGCAAACCCGTTATTCAGATTTAAACCATCCCATAATGCACAATTCAGAAACTGTATTTCAAAAGCAATGATGCCTGTGCCAAGAAAAATGGATTTTTCCTTGGTCTGCTGCTTCCTTTGCTCAAACCATCTCAAACACATACACACACACAAAACCAAAAAAAAAAAAAAAGAAGTTTAGACGAAGATATATACTTTCTTAAGAGCCTTTCAGCTTTAGCAATTTTGAATGAGAGAAGGAAGAAATGCGAGTCACTGCCCTTTCTTCCACACGCTTATGCTTTAATCAATAATGCCTGTAATTCCCAATTTCCCCTTTTAAAATAGAAATAGGGCTCCCCTTTAACACCACAGTCCTGCTATTTACAGAAAAGCATGTTCAAATCACAAGGTCAGAGCAGACAAAGAAATCCTAAACAATTTGATCTGATCAGATGTTTCCGTTTGTCTGTGTATAAATATATGATACGGAAAAATGAACGGACACACCCCTGGAAAACCACCATGCCCAACACTTCACACCCTAACATCTGTTAAAGAATTATTTATAATACAGGTGTGAGCATTTCCACGAAACAACCACACATGCCGATTAAAAAAAAATACATCACGCAGCGATGTGACTGGGACCCAGTGCAGATCATACAGATACCAAGCAGCAGGACGACTACTAGTCACTGGGGGGAGGGGGGAACCGGGAAACGTGGATAAATGCGGCAGCGGGTTCACGAAAAAATAAAACGGGGCTTATAATGCTGGGGTAAGGGAAACGTGTTTGAAATACCCCCATCCCGCTGGAGGTGGCACCAAGCACTAAAGCCCCGCCGCGGGCTGTGCGCGCCGTGACCCGCACGGTGACCGAGCCGGGGGCGCACGGGGGAGCACCGCGCCCGCTCCCCGGGCTGCCGGGGCCATCCAGGGGCCATCCGGCCGGGATGCCGCAGGGAAGGGAGGCGGCGGCGGGTCCCCGCGGCCCCGCACACGCACCGGCACACGCGTGTCGGCTGAGGCCGCCGCCCCACACAATGGGCACAGGTGCACACACCGCACTGCCCCGCACCGCCGGCGACCGCGCCCCGCCGGCCCCGCACGCCACAGCCCCCGCAAAGGAGAGAGAGGGCAAGGACGGCCCCGGCCCCGGCGCTTACCTGTTCTCCGCAGCCTGGCGGGCACCTCCTCGCTCAGACCTGCCGGCGGGGCGCGGAGGGAAGGCGGCGGCTCGGAATGGGAAGCGGCCAAGGAGCGGAGGCTCCCCCCTCCCCCCCTCGACCACCCGGCTGCAGGCGCAGTAGTTGCCGCAGAAAGCGGCTCCGCTGCCTTTGTTACGCCTCCCCTGGCTGTAGCGCGCTGCTGGGGAGCCCGGGCTGCAGCTGCTTCGCTTTTCTTCTGCTGCTGCCGGTTGCAGTGATTTGCATTAGCCCGGCCCTCATTGAAATGCGGCTCTTCACACCAGCCTCTCCCAGGCGCTCTCCAGAGGGCGGCGCCGCCGCCGCTGTCTCACCCTCTCTGTCTCCCTCCCGTTGCGGGCCAGCTCTTCCATAGGAGCTGGAGCCGCTCCGGGCATCGCGCCCTCTCCGCGGAGCGCGGGTGCCAGGGCAGCCCTACCGGGACCAGCAGGCTCTCCCGGGGGAGAATTTCTGGCCGCACCGCGGGTCGTCGCCCGCCCGGCGCCTCCCTCCGCCCCGGGGAGTCCCGGCCAGGAAGACGTGCCCGATCGGGAGATGCCTGTGCCCAAGATAGGGCCGTGCCTGGCGGGGGGCAGCTGGCCCGGCGTCCAAAAGGCGCCTTCAGAAATGATTTTACCAATTGTGTGAGTTGGCATTTCCATGAGGCTCTCCTGGTCGCCAAGGACTGAAAGCCTGCCCAGTCCCCAAAGCCCCATGACAGGGTTTGGGTGCTGAAGGTGGGACTGATGTGGAATTTAGGTATGAAAACCAGTGAAGCCACGCTAATTCACACCACTTGCTTAGTTACAGCTGACCTTGGAGGTGATAACATCCACAGTTGGTACAGTTTTTATGCTTAAAGTTCCCAGAAGCTGTATTTGCCTGAGGGCATCTCAGGCTGCATCTGACTGAGTCACTCCTTTTAAGGCCTGAGCCCCTCAAGTCTTGGAGTACGTTTGCTAAGGCAACTTCTCTACAAAAATTCATCCATAGCTGATGCTTTCTACTCACAGGCTTGGTTGTTCTTCACTTTAATGTAAAAATCTCAGTGGTTAAAACATTCTTAAGGTGAAGGATCTGGTTTGCTGTTTGTGCAACAAAGACTTCAACTCTTTTTGTCAGGTAAACAGCCCATGGTCCAGGGGGACAGAGAAGGAATGAAAACACAGTCTGTCCCTTCTGTTGAAGCTGCTACACTTTGAAAGAATTAAAAATGCATTAGATCAGAGAGAGGGAATTAGTCTTTAACCTCATGGTTTATGGCATTTATTTGGGAAGGACAAAAGATGGATTTGTGTGTCTGTGTTACAGACAATTTATAAGTTTTATATTCATAAATCCAGAGACAATCAGTGGAGCAGGGACTTCAGCCCAGGGTGCCCTGCTCCCATCTATTCCTCTAATCAGAATAGAGGCTCCTGCTTAATCTGTCTGAAGGCAAACGAAGCCTTTAGTCTACAAAAAGTGTAAGAGGCTCAAAAGAAGAAGGGAATGGAGCATTTCCTGTCTTTCCTTTTTCTCCTTGAGTAGTCCACATAGAGGCTCTTAGGAGACAGGAGATTCCCTAAAGGAGAAAAACTAATTGTTCTCTGTCTTTATCATCCTGGAAGAGTTCTGTAATCACTAAAGTGTAGAGCAGATACAGGAGTCTTCTGGCTACACTTTTTTCCTTTTTTTGTTTGTTTGTTTGTTTGTTATTTTTGTTTGGTTGATTGGTTTTTGTGGTTTGTTTTGGTTTGTTGTTTTTTTTTTTAAAGGGAAATGAGCACCTAAAACCTTCAGAAAAACCTCTGCTTGAGGGAGTAATAGCATTAAAATACCTGAACATCAAAAAGATTCAGAATTCACTGTACAACTCTGTCCTCAGCATACTCTTACCACCTAGCTTAGTATTTGTAGATCTTTTTCCAAGGCACTTAGTTCTTGCTTTATGGTCAATGGGTGCAGAGTTACTTTACTATAAAGGCTGGTTTCTTTCAGATGCAAGATCCTAGAAGAGGAACATCCCCACATTGAGTATTTCAACAGCAATACTGCTTCTAAAGTCTATTGTTTTTGAAAACCTCTTGGTCTCTGTTTAACGGTAACAGATATAGTGATATTGGTAATGTTGATATACCTTATGGGAGAATGGAAACTAATTCAAAAATAATTCTGATGGTCTTGTAACAAAATTCTAGTCTTTAAACCATTTCTTTTGTAGGTCAACAATCCAATAAAATATTCACCACCATCTTAAATTATAAGAAAAACCATGAGATCATAAAGATTAGAGATGGAAAATACTATCACAGTTCTGACAAAAGATTGCTCTTTAACATTCTTCACTGCTATTTTGTCCAGTTCATTTTAAATGTCTTGGGTAATGAGGCTTCTTCTTCCCAAAGGAGACATCTCTTCGAAGTTGAATTCTTCCAATTATAAGGAATTTTTTTCTGATGATCAGGTTAATGGAAGTTTCTTACGTTTCAGCTCATTACTTTAGCTATAGTGCCCCGTGTTCACGTACATAATTTATTTCTCCCATTGGTGTTTACATCTCTGTAACATGTATTATTTACGTCTAGCCTAAGTGTGCAAAATATTTCAGATGTTCAAGGAAGATCTTCACTCCAATTATATTTTAAAGCAAAGAAGAGAATACAATATAAATCAATACAAAAGTATAAACCCAGTAGGAAAGTATCTTTTAAAATGTGTTGTTTTGTTCATTTACAGTTTTGTGTCTAACATGAAGACACAACACAATAGTGTACAATCTGATTGCTTCTGTCATCCGTCAAGCATGCTTACAGTGCTTTTTAAAGCACTTTAAAATATGTTAGCTTTTTCTATTTGTTTGTTCTCAAATTAAAACAATGCCATTCTAAATAGAAATAAATGTTAAATAAAATTTGATAGAGTTTAGTATAGTCACCCTGTTAACAAAACACTGTTTTGCTAGTACAAAACTGTCTTTCCTTGTTGGACAGACTTTGAAGTATTGCATTTCCTGAGCCCTTGTAATGCATCTTTATTAACCACAAAACAGTCACTTCTTAATCCCACTTTGGATAAAATAAGTAACTTGAACTTCTCATCTCTCTTATTCTTAATCAAGACTTTCAGATCTAACAGTATTCCAACAGTGCTCTTCTGAACACTTGTAATTTTTAAGTACTTTTGTCAAACTAGAATTGGATACAGTTATGTCACCACTGAACACTCCTGTATCTGAAGGCTATACCAAATGCCTTGGAACATTGTTCTGGGAGCTTCTCTTTAGACAGCTAACCACTGTGACCCCTAAATCCTTTTCAGAGTCACTGCTTTCCAGGACACTGTCTCCAGTCTTCTAAACGTGACCTACATTCTTTGTTCCTGCTGAATGACCTTGCATTCAGCTGTCTCAAAAAGCGTGTTCAGATGATCCTGTCTTACTAAAGGATGTCAATTTCCCTACAGAAAAACTGTTTTTTCTTTGCATTATTTAGTGCTTTATGCATTTGATGTCATCTGCAAATTTTACAGTTAATGCTGTTAAATATTTCTTCAGATCACTCATAAATTTATGTAGTAGCAGAGGACAGCATTTTCTAAAATGTGGGGCTCAATCCCCCAAGGAAGCGGCATCAAGGGCGTGTTTATAGCTCATTCCACTTCATGTCAGAGAGGCACTCAGCTCTCAGGATGCCAAACCAGGCCAAGGGAACTGGTGCTAGTGCCGTCGCATATGCCCGGTTCAGCAAACAGCTTGTGCCAGCTCCCAGCAGGGATCTGAGCAACTGGAGCAGCACCAGCCAGCTGGGCACTGCAGAGGCGTGCGGTGGGGTGGCGGAGTCCTGGCACCAGCCACACGTTGGGAAGAACTCGCTTATGAAAAAGAACAGAACTCCACGAATTCCTCAAGATTACCCAGGGGATGATGATTAGCTGTTTACGGTTACTTTTGCAGAGCTTCTATTTAGCTGGGTTTTAATTAATTATTATGTGTTACACTGATTTTGTATAATGCTAATCGCTTAATTAGATTGATATACTGTTGTGTGTCTGTTGCTTTACAGAAGGATATGTCAGTGTAGTCATCTTTATCAATCATAAATTCAGCAATTTCACCCAGAAAGCTGCCCAATTTGACATGCTCATTGTCACTAATTACACAATCATTTTCTGTATTGATGGCATCACATATCAGGCCTTCAGTTGTTTTACCTCTTAGTGATTCCAGCATAGATAGAATTATATAACCAAGATCATATTTTTTATGTTGTTGAAATGTAACCCTAGCTTTATCCATGTTTTTAATACTTCCTTAGCATCCTTCTGTTTCTTGAATAGCAACATTAAATGTTCAGGCAGATCAGTAATGATTTCTTTTTAAAGTACTCATATATGACACATTATTTGCATATTATTTTAAGCAAAAGCATATTACATTCCTGATTAGGATGGAACCACATTATGAACACATTATGACCACATTATGTTCTGGATCACTATTGACAATTTCAACTGTTTTCTTCTAATAACAGTCCTATCATTTTGCTAGGATTAATTTTATTCACAATATTATTTTTTTTTAATTCCTCTTTCTCCTTAGTATTTCTGGGTGTAAAATTTCTCCCTGATAATTTGTCATATGTCTGTTTTTGATATTTCACTTGTCCAAACTTATAATAATGGGCAAAAGAAAACCATAGTTCATCCTCAGGTAAGTAATCAGCCAATGTGTCCCAAATCACTAAAGGATATGTGAGGGCTGTAAACAGGAAACAATTGGGGAAATCTCAGGTCATTCAAAGAGAAGAAATTAAGTGGGAAGACATTAGTGATCCGGGAGATGTCTCAAATTCTTCTTGTATAGGAGTAGTTTTTTCACCTTCTAGATGCTAATTTTTCAGTGTACTGGCCATATGAGGTTGTCAAGCACTGTCTGCTGAGTTCTACACCTCCTGTTACAACCTGAATCAGATCCTTTGGACACTTTTCCGAGTGAAGATTTGGATGCCATCCTCTCTCACAATTCATTCACAGGTTAGGGGTGTAAGGCAACAGCTGATACTGTAACTAGACTACCCCTTCTCTCATCATGCAGGTTGTGTACTATGGAGGGATGTGGGTCTGCTACTTACATGGTCTGAAAAGGCTCCTTCACTGACATGACAGTCCTTCCACTCAACCACCCCATGACATGGAACAGCAGCAGGTAAAATTAATTCCATTGCCTTTAATTAAAGATCTATCTACATTATGGCTGAAAGTCAAATTCTGATTAATTTAAAGGAGATTCAACCTCCTAACTATCATGGTAATCTCAGAGATTTCAGCCCAACTGTTT